CACGTACTGCAGAATCACATCTGGACATGAGTGGATAACTGAGCCTTGTGATTTATACAGACAGATGAAAATTGAAGGAAGGACTGTGAAAGACACCATCTACCCTCCTCTTGAAGGGTCTCACCGTTGCTTGGGGGAAGGCTCAGTTTATGAAGCTGCTGGTGAAGTACTGATCATAACCTGACATTTTAAGAAAAGCATAAATGCCAGGTGTTTTTTTTATTTTTCCCCAGTGTATAAGGAATAGACTTCTCAAGGAAAGCAAGAACTTTATTGCCATGTGGGCAGAAACCACCAAGTGAGGGTAACAGGCCATCCAAAGGGAGCAACCACTCCAACCCTTGAAAAAGTAACTTTTGAAGTTAGAGCTGAGGCAGCCAACATAAGTCTGTGAGAAAACTTTGGGCATGTTCCCTCAGAAGAGGCGTAGAAGAAAAGATGAAATATGGCAAAGCAGAATTATTGGTAATAGAACGTAAAGCTGCTTTTACACTGCCTCATTTTGCATCCCATATGTTATTTCTCACTTTCAGGACTTCCTGAATTCACACATAAAGCCAGTAGAAGCAAACTACATAATTGTTTGAAACAAGGGAAATAAAAGCAGACTTGATGATGTAATGATGTTTCAAGAAACAATTATTTTAAGCAGAAATAATTAGATTTCCCTTCAGTAGCATATAATAGCATATACTTTAAGCCAATTTAGGGACAAAATCAAAATATATATCAACATTATTTCCTCACGCAGAAACAAGTATAGGGAAGAGTCTGAAGGGTGGAGACCACGAAGTGCTGCTGATAGAATTTTTCCCAAAGCAGTTTGATTCAAGTAGGACTAGCTAACTCTATTATAGAGAGAGATTTGTCTCAAATGCATTTTTTATTCCATATTGCTTCTTAGCAGGATGAGGGAAAGATGACAGAACAGTTTTTGCTTTATTGAAGCGTTTTAAAAAAATGGCTTTTGTTTACACTAAAGAACCCCAACAAAACAGACCTTCAAGGTGAAGTGAGAAAAGCTGAAGTTTATGAGTCTGACTTGGGGAAGTTCATTCCACTGTTAAGAAAGCTTCAGTCCCCTCATGGCAAGAGCTTCGTTTTGGCAGAAGAACCAAAGCGATAACTGTGGATGATCTTTAATGGTTTTTTCCTTCTCTCTGTCTTACGCTTGGCCTTTTCTGAGATGTTCAGATTGTTGTTGTTTGTGTCAGAGCTCAGGGCAGGCTGGGTATCCTGGTCTTAAATAAGATCCGCTTGTCAGTGTAACTTCTGTGAAGCAGCCTGAAGTATTTGGGTTTTTTGTTCTGCATTCAAAAATGGCAGCTACAGGCCTATTTTGTCAAAGTAACGAAGCAGGATGCTAAAGAGTTTTTATTCTTAAGCTTTCTTCCTCAGGCTACTTAGCTTCTATACCAAACAACTGCATGCCCACTCCATACCTCAAATCAAAGCCTTTTTGCTACAAATGGGAGATTTTCAGAAAAATTATGCTCAAGTCTTATTTCCAGGTCTCCTTTTTCAAAATCATAAGAACCATTGCAAGTACTTCCTGGAATACTAATTTTTTTTAAATTAGTCTAGTTTGTTAAAGATGGTGAAACTCATAGACAGCAGTTGCTTCACTTATCCGCTCTAGTCTGAATGAGTTGTGTTGCCACAGGATGAAAACTGTGCTGAATACTTCTTCAGATCAAAGTGGATGAAGGGTATAATTTTGGAGCTGAAAGATATTGCTTACAGTGGAAGTAAAGAACTGCAATTTATTATACCACCCATCCTATATTGCCTGTTCAGATTGCAAGCCTTCAGGCCTGGAACTCTGCCTGTACATTTTACATGTGCAGTATTCTCAGGATACAATATAAATAATAATATATCATCAGGGAAGGGAATAGCCCAGTGGAGCAATCCACAACTGAGTGAACCTCTCAGATATGGAACAAAGCCAGCATTACTTCAAAAACTTTTTTTTTTTTACAAAGTCAGTCAAATGCCTAAATTAAAATCCCACTCAATTGCTTTGGTCTTATCAGATTAAGTATCTGTGTGTTCATTTAATATGCCTCTCATGCATTTTATCTTTATGCTTCATTTAAATATGAGAAGCAAACACATTTTATATAGTTGTTATTCTCCAATTACTACAAAAGCTTCTTGGAATCTTTGATCATGAGAATGTTATTTCAAATCCAGTTCTGATTCGCAATTACAAAGTGTCTTTACTGAAGTTACTTTGGATGCAATTCTAATCCAAGTAGAGTAAACCACAGTCAGTACTCAAAAAAAACAGGTAGGAGTATGGAGCAGTAAAGAGATCAGAATGAACCCAAGTACCTGAGTTGATTTATGTGGTGGGAGGGGTTTTTTAGACAGAAATTCCAACCAAAGTTGTAATGATAACAAGCATCTGATGCAAAACATCAATGATTTAGCATTAGATGGTGTTTACAAAACATTATTATTAAAATACAGTAGATCAGCAAATTTTATTTTTTGTATAAGGGACACTATGATAGAGGTTCAGCCACAGGGTTTTTTGGTTTTTTGGGTTATTTTTACACAAGACCACAGAGATGTGACACAGGTATATATTGGCCACTAACCAAGTTACACATGCTTGAATGTGGACAGCTGTTAGATTATCACAAATATATTCAGAATTGTCACACAAATTGTCTCTAGATTTAGATAAGACTGAAGCTTGCACTTCACAGCCTCAGTGTCAGATAAAGCTCAGGAAGTAACAGCAGCAGAAAAAACAGATTATAAGTTGCTTTATGTCTTACATATCGTTTCTCTCTAGTCTTTTTTGAGTGGTGAAGGAGCTGTAGCATAGAACTAAAGAGAGTGATGGAGCTTATGAAGTAAGCAAATCTTTGGGCAAATGTACAAAATATACAACAAGAAAATAATTTTACTGCAAAGTCAACAAGAAGGCATGCAGTAGCAATGGCTAGGTGACAAATTGAAAAAGGGATTTGTTTAAATTTATGCATAGGGTATTTTCAGATGTCCCAAAGCCTTAGCTTAATATCTGTAAAGGAATGCTGTAAAGTCTAAACTATCAAGAAATATAAAACATTACTAAGTGACCCTTCAACTATTAAAATGTGGCTTCTTCATTCACTGATTTATTACCATCATTCACCAGAGGTCTGATGGAAACCCACTCACTTCACAAGGATTGAAGGTAAGGTTTGTTTAGTGAAGTACTGAGCATTTCCAGCTCCAAACGCAAAGGCAGGGCACTTGCAAGCATTTCGTACCACATGAGATCAGATTAAAATATGAGGAACCTCTTTTCAAGCAATGAATCCATGAGAAGTTTTACTGCCTATCCATTTTAAAATACTCATACCGTGCCAGCCTGTTCCAAAAAAGTAATTACTTTGTTTCTGCCTTTTATTCTTGAGGGGAAAAAGAATACTAGAAAGAAATCACAATCTTAGAAATGTATGTTCTCTATTCTCAGCTAAGGACTAGGACTAATTTCTTTTTTTAATAATTAAAATAAATTTATTAATAAAAAATATGCAAAACTGAAAACACAGTTTATTTTAAATTCATATAGTCTGTGTTTGCTATTTGAAACTGTAGGCTCCTGACTGTTAAATAATGTAGAATGAATCTATCAGGACACAGGACTAGCAGACTGATCAATGATGAGGTACTCAAAGAGTAAAAACTACTACCTGAGAGGAGCATGGTGACCTGCAGGCCTGGCAGTTGAGTGCATATCAATCAGTTTTGCCCTCTGATATTGCCCACAATGTTTTGTCATAATCCAGGGCAATGCCCATGCTCATCAAATACTGCAACTCCTGGCTGTTGCTGATAAGGACTATAAAAGGAAGATTCAGAGCAACTACAAAGCTTTGCAAAGCAGTGGATGCTTTGATCACTTTAAACACCATGTAGTAGGGTGCTGGAATTCAGTCTGCCTGGTTTAATCCTGCCTCACCATTCAAACATGCTTAACCTGTAGCAAGAAGGAAAAAAATCAGTTCTAATTTGTCCAATATATGCATTTATTCTACAGTCACTAAAAAGTTATGTAACTTCTGAAGGTAATGGGAAGACAATTCCATCTAATTTAGATATTTTATTTACTAAGGATGTAACCCTTATCTGAGATGGTGGCTTTATTCAGCTTGAAAAAAAAGCACTCTGTTTTTTGTAGTGCCCTAATTGCTAACTGAGGTTATAGTTTTCCTTCACCTGTTCCCTATCTGGTCCTAGAGAAGTCTTGCAGAGCTGACTGTCACAGCTCCCTGTGGGCAGCACCGCTGGAATACTCTCATGATCTCATGGTTAAGAACTTCTAAAACTGTGTGATGCAGATTCAGTTTCCCTTGGGAATATTTAGCTTACCAAGAAAATGCTTCAACTACTGCATAAACTTCCATACAGAAAGCAGGAAATAACACCAAAAGTTAAATGCAAGCTCCTCAAACCTAACTTCTCAACATTCTCCTTACCACCTACTCAAAGTTCAGGTGGCTTATGACCTGAATGGAGCTTTAGGTGGGGACACAGTTATCACTCTAATCAGGACAGTGATTAAAACAAAAATTACCTGGATTAATTCTTGCTTTAGCAAGCATAGAGAGGAAGAAGGAGCCACATGCTGGTCCTGCTACGTTCAAGAGACTTGGTGCATGGAACAATACAGTGGTGCAGCACTATTCTGGACTATTTTGGACTCCAAATTTGGAGTCCAAAAGTAATCCCCCCTGTTACATGCAGAGAGACATAAACCTTGTTGGTTTTACCCACTTTAAATACTTATATTTACCCAGCATGGTACTGCTTAAAGATGCAAGCTTAGAAACTATGATTTATCTGTGAAATGATTCTATGATCTATTGTTTGGAGTCATTTAAACAGAGGTGCAATTCTGTCTGCTTAATTCAGCAGGTGAAGAAGACCATTCTTAGTCATATATCCTGTTTCTTGATCCTAAGAATAAAGATAACAATGTTTCACTTAGAAGCCTGTTAAAATAAAACCCATGCATTTTATTAACATTCTAGATCAGAGGTTAAATAAAACGTGTTATTTGAAATAAAGCTGATTTGTAGATTGAAAAAAACATGAAATTTGCCAGATGTTGCATAAGTAAGACATTGAAGAAAAAAAGATGTTGAACACTTCAGGTGAAACTATTAGCAAAGCAGAAGCCAGTAGATCAGATGAAATTTGTTTCTGTCCTAGATTACAGAATTCCCCACAGCTGTGGGAATAAGAAGGGCCAGCCTCTCGTTCAGCAAATTAACATCTTACAAAGTATAGTAATTACTAGTGGGGTAGTAGGACAAATACTGCATATTGCAATGCTAATGAATTCTTTTTATGGCCTAATCACCTGGCATTCTCGAGGGTTTTCGTACAAAAATCTAAATGTACATTTTAATTTTGGATGTTTACTGGCTATTGCATAGGCAAGACTGTTTCACTAGAAGCTTACATGATTTCATGTTCTAGCTTAAAATATTTAAAAATGGAAATAGTATAAATATATCATAAATGAATGTTAAATAAATCCCAAACAAATATATGTAACAGGAATTTTTGATTGTTGCTATTCTTTTCTACCATCCTAATTCTCTTCTTTTTCCCTCACTTTAGCTGTTCTTCCCTGTTATATTCAGAAAAATTAGAAGTTTCAACACACTTGGAAGCCAAAGGTTCATTCATAGTATTCAGTAAGCATTAATTAGTCAAAGAAGCTTATTGCCTTTATCAACATGAAGTTTAAAAGATTAATTACATTTACTTGCGGAAAATCCTGCCATTTTGGACCTGCAATTAAAGCACACGCAATTGAGTGCAAGGAAAGTATGCAGTCCAGTAGACTGCCTAAGTTATCTTATTGTCACATAATCTTGGCCTGAAAAAAAAAAAAAAAAGACTAAAAACCAGACCACAACAAATCTAAAAACAACCCCTAAGATTTGCGTTTTGAAAGCTGAAATAAACAAAACTTGTAAACAAACACTTTTTTTGTGCTTCCTGGCACATCACACTTGATTTGTTGACAAGGTTGCCAAACAGTTTCATAAAATGCAAGAGATAATTTGGTCATCTCTACAGAAACAAATACAAGTTGTCTAATCAGATGATCAAATCTCAAAGAAAATGAGATCAACCAAACATATCACAGATCTGCTGAATTCCTAATAAACTGCTGTTGAGACTGGAGAATATTTTGGACATACCTGCCACCTGGTGTTTGGGAAATAACCTTATGTCTGAAAACAACCTGAAATTCTCTTAAATCTGTATCCCCATTAAGAAGTAAACAAACACTGGTATATTTATTATGAATTAAATGCATAAACAGCAAAGAGTTGGTGTTATTACCAGCACCTGTCTAGAAAGAAAATGAACAGGGTGACTTAATATTCCTTCTAGTCCTTCTAGTCCCATCTCTATTAACTACAAAAATTCTCAAGTAAATCTTTGACTTAACTGTATCTACACATCTCCTGTCAGATAATGGCACTTTTCATGGGAAACCTCCTTGGCAACAGCCTTATACAACTTCACAGGCTTAGTGTGCCAAACCCAAAGGAAAGAACTAACTTATATGAGATGGAGCTGGGTAAGAAAAGGACTAGTCATACATAACACTGGGTAGTGAGTAATCAGTCAGTGTCTGAAATTACTGTGATCAGTGTTAATTTGTCTTAGCTGAAACACTTAAAACCCCAAGCCTTTATAGTGGAAGAGGCAATGACACTACTAGTTTTGCATATTTGATGCCTAAAGTAAACATTCCTCATTGGTAAAATTCATAATAGTAAGCATGTAAACCACGCTTGCAGCTGAGATAAACCATGTTTTATGTTTACCCACGAAAGGGTGGAGCCTAAAGTGGAGCCTAAAGCTTCAGTGTAAAAAACTGAACAAATTACTATGTGCTTCAGCAATATCAAAGTGTACCTACAGCACAGTGAGAGTTTTTTCCCCTCCTTTGCAAAGCAAGATTTAAATACATTTCTTTCATAATTTTAACTCAGGATGAAACCATAGTCTGAAGTCAGTCTCAGCAATAAAAATAGGTAGCATTTAAGTTAGCACCCTGGTAAGCACAATCCATAACTATTTGTCTGGGACTTCATAGAAATGCCAACAGTAAAGCAGAGTGTAGTGTTTGGGTTTTTGTTTTTCTTCAAGGCAATGCAGGTCAAAGGCAACTGTGTCCTAACGTGCCCCACTCTACTTCAGTTCTAGTAACTTTGAAAATGATACGTATTAGAAGGTCAGCACTTACAGTAAATGTACTGTGTACACACACTCCAATGTTTATATCAACTACTCTTTTACAGGCAGAGCACACAGGCCCAACATAACCTATCTGTTAATTGAGATCCATGCAGTTCTTGGGGTGACCTCTGCAGGGCCAGGAGTTGGGACTCAGTGATCTTTGTGGGTCCCATCCAGCTCAGGATATTCTATAACTCTATAGTTCCATGATTAATTCTCATTAACTTCTCCCAGAATTTAATTACAGCCTAATACAGGGCTTAATTGCTTTCTCAGCATCTAAAGAAAATATTTTCTAATGAGAGCACAGAACATAAGAGGGAACTTTGTAAAGCACAAGGTAGTCTTGCTGTTGTCTATCAACAGTAACTGATCAGCACAGACAGGACTGTTTTCTTGCCTTACTATTGACAGAGGAGCCTAATGATGCTTCTGTGATCTTTGCAGAGAGCATAAAGGAGAAGAGACACAAAAAGTTGAAAGAAAAACAGAGGAAAAGAAGACCTCTAACCACAAACAAAAACTACATCACTGGTGAAGCATGCTGATGGCTACTAACAATGGAGCAAGGATCGTTGCTTCTGTTAAGTTGGCTGTCTATTCGACATTTTTAAAGATGTAAACAAAAGGAATACTTTAGGCTCCTACAAAGAAGTTGGATTCAAAAGGTTCATTTCTATGCTTTTTTGGTCTGTTCAAGTCTGTTTCAGCAGACCTGTTCATGTTAGTCACAGCTCTTGCAGAACTTGTTTAATATTCTCTGAGTTAGTCCTCACTAGTAGTAATTTAACTGATTAATATAATGTCGCATTCAACCTAGTATCACCAAAACTGTGCTTTCCATTTTGTGCATTTTTGTTTCAGCATGCACAATATACTGTGACCCGTGCCAAGTCTTATTTTCAATGCACAGCTCTGAAAATGGCATTCTGCTGAAGTGAAATTCTCACATTCTTCTTCAGCTGCTGTTTAAAAGGAAACTGGCTGCTGAATCAATAAACCAAAGCACTTAGCTAGCCAGAAAAATGTGGAGTGCGCAGTGGTAGGAAGGATCTGCATGGACACTGCTGGTACAAGCTGTTCCTCATCTATGTCTATACATACCATAAACCAAATATGCCAAGTTTGTTACTGTTCTTAATGAAAAGCTGAAGTCTACGTAGGGAGTGATGAAACTCTTTCAGTTCTAAATCTTCACCAAGCCATAGTAAAAGCCAATCATCACTTGTTTCAAATATGAAGAAATAAATGCTTTGTTCTCAAAGCATTGCTAAGATCGGACTAGAGAGAGGAGTGAGAATATTTGAGAGGAACACCTGTTTAGACACTGAGGTCAGTGAATAAGGAGGGGGAGGAGGTGCCGAGATTCCCCTACAGCCCATGGTGAACACCATGGTGAGAGAAGCTGCCCCCCTGCAGCCCATGAAGGTCCATGGTGGAGCAGAGATTCACCTGCAGCCTGTAGAGGACCCCACACCAAAGCAGGTGGATGCCCAAAGGAGGCCGTGACCCTGTGGGAAGCCCACACTGGAACAGGGTCCCATCAGGACCTGTAGCCCTGGGGAGAGGGGAGCACATGCAGGACCAGGTTTGCTGGCAGGACTTGTGACCCTGCAGGGGACCCATGCTGGAAGCCATAGGAAGGACTGACGCTGCAGAAGTTCATGAAGGACTGTCCTCTGTAGGAGGGACCCATGCTGGAACACGGGAAGAGTGGAAGAAGGAAGGAATGGCAGAAACAATGTTTGCTGAAGTGACTGAAGTACAATACAAGTATTAAACAAACTCCTACAAATCAGGACTGGAATAATCTGCTTCTGTGCACAGCTTGTAGAACTGATGCACTTATATATGTTAAAGCAGCTTTGAGGCTAGAAACTCTTATCTGTAGATATAGAAGTTATTTAAAATCCTGTTTTCAGAAAGTGTTTTAACTGTGCTGGTAACAGACACACCAATATCACTGTAACCAGACTTAAACAACTTGTGTACCACTGTATTTCAACCTCTGCCCTAAATCAGGGTATGCTATTTACAATTGTTCCTTACACTTCCACAGGTGGATGGAGACAAAAAATATTAAAATAAAAAATTGCATATTTTATTTTTAGCTCTAAAGATGCATCTCTAAACAATCAGTAGAAAAAAAAACAAGTAAAAAAAGTAAACACCAGCATTTTGTAAAATAACATTGAACTAATACAAGACTTAATACAAAGTTTTCATGTACGACTCAAATGCAGTTTAAAAAAAAAAAAAAAGTAGTCTGGTCTAAGACCCCTTCTACTTGAAATAACTTGTTAAGTACCCACAGATTTTAACTATAAAACAAGGATACATTCTTTCTTTTTTCTTCCATTTGTGAAGTTGATTGCCACAAACTTCAATCACTTGCCAGTGAAATTCTCATAGTTTCGGTTACAGAACTGAACTTATACAGTTCCATGACTGAAGTCCTCCCGTTTTCAGCATAGGCTCTTTATCAAGTCCACACTTGTCACATATCTTTAGACTGATCATCTTCTTCAAGTTTTCTGATTTCACTCTTTAAACAGTTGATGGTTTCACGACTTGCTTTTAGTCTTTCTTTAAGCTCAGCAATTTCAAAACTAGTCTTCTTTTTGGCAGCTTCCAGCTTTTCCCTGGTTTTCACTTCAAGATCTGCAACTGTGGTGGTGATAAAGAAAAATTAAATATTATAAATACCACGAAAAGTTGTAATTATTTTAACTGAAACAGTAATTTTGATAGTGTGTGTCCTGAAAAAAAAAAATCTATTGCTGTTAGCCTTAAGAGTTTCAATGATTGTAATCAAAATGGTATCCAAAACCAAACCTGGATTTCAAAAACACCCAGGAAGTTTGTTTTGTGGCCTCATTCAGCCCTCGGCCCATCAGTTTTGTGGATGGAGTTACACAATTCATGAAATCATTTTCTAGAGGTTTTTTTTAAGATTAAGTAAAACCTGGCATGGTGACAGCAAATGGGAAATTAGAACTATGGATATGTGGTGCCTAGTGACAGCACTTGAGGCCACAGGCACAAACAGAAACATGGGAGGTTCCTCTGAACATCAGGAAACTTTTACTGTGAAAGTGACCAAGTGCTGGCATAGGTTGCCCAGAGAGGTTGTGGAATCTCCATCCTTGGAGATATTTAGAAGCTGTCTGGACACAGTCCTGGGGAATCAGCTGTAGTGGCCCTACTCGAGCACAGGGTGGACACGATGGCACTAGAAGTCCCTTCAAGTCTCCACCATTCTGTGGTTCCTTTTCCATGTACTGTAACCACCTTCTACTCTTTGTCTCACTGGAGTTTAATTCTACATGTCTAAACAGTTGTGGTGCTTCCTTTGCTTTTACAAATCCCTGACATCAAGTATCTTTTTTTTAATATTTTTTCATGTACAAGGTTTTGGACAGAGATGGTACAGCCAACAAATCTATGAAGGCCACAGAGATCCCTTCATATCCCATACATTACACAATCGTGGGCAGTGGCAAATTTTATCTGCTTTAGTGGCGCATTTTAAGGAAATATATATACAAAAAACATACTAAAAGTTTCTACCTACTCTCTGGAGAAACACACAAAAATTTGAAGTGAGAAATGTTTAAAAGTGGACAAGACTTTTTTATGAATCATGTTATTAAACATTTTCTAAATGAAAGCCATAACTACATGCAATGTAACAAAAATCCACCTCAAGACTGGCTAAACTGAGCTAGAAATTACATGGAGCTCGCACATCCACAGAGCCAAGCAGACGTAAGGCAAATCAGAACCTGAACTTTGAAGAGCTTCAAACTCATAATCACTCTCCACTCTTTAGGTCTAGGCATTTGCTTTCCAAAAAATACTTGGCATTTGTTGTCAGGTGAACGTAAGGCCAGGTGAGCTGGACTACGATGGCATTAGAGTTTGTAATTAACAAGGCAGGATTTGGGCTCAATAAATATTACATTTGTTTTCTGAGAGTAGAATATAAGAGATGAAATCCAGAAGATCAGAACAGAAATTATCACTAAATGCATTACAATTCATGAACCAATGGATCTTTATTTAATTTCTTTAATTCCCTTAATATTTTTGTTTACATGTGGAGACAAATTAGATAAAAAGGACACAAAAAACATTATGCTGTACTGAATAAGTATGTTATGAAACTACCTACAGTTCAAGAATTAGAAGGGAAAACGACAGGAACAGCTTTCAGATACTACTCTTTATTCCCAAAGGGCTGCTGCTTTGACTTAAACACCACTAACTGTTCCTATTTTAGTGCTGAACAGAATTATACCACAGAGTGGCCTTCATTTATTTGGTTTTGACTCATTTCAAAGATGTTAAACTAGGTGTAGATCACGCACTCTTCATATTGAGTAATTTCTAATTTTTTTTCAGCACACATACAGATCAGAAAATCTTGAAAGTTTTCAAATAAGTATTAATATCTTTGCAAAAGTTGAAGTTAAATTTAATGTAAAAATAGCACTTTTTAATCAGCATCCAAATCCATTGTATTGTTACAGCCCAGGAAAAGAACAGCAATAAAAGCAAAACCAACTACTGTTTATTTCTAAAATTAAAATATTTTAATTTTCAACTTACACTCTGTTTCATGCTTATAAGCACCTAGTGTTAGTTGACGAGATGTTGTTAACAGCTGCTGCATCATTGCAGTAGGATCTTGAAATATCTAATGAAGGAGAAAAATACATAGTATCACTAATACTCTTCAAAATAAAGTGAGGATTACATTAAAAACATTCATACCATTTCATCATAGAATTCAGAAACTACAGTTTTCTTCCCCAGGATGGCATTTGTATCCGACTGAAAAAGCTTCAGCAAGTGATATAAGGTTACCTATGCAAAGACAGAATTTTATTAGCTTGACAATTGTAGGGAAATAGAAATCTTGTTCTAGATACCAACAAGTAGCACTTGTTCCTACAAAACAATTGTATAGGATTTAAAAATCTTTTAGGAATGCAAAAATAAATGTCATATAGCTTCAGTGGAATTACTTCTATTCAATATTAATTGTTAAAACATGCCAACTAGCCAAAGGTTTATTGATACTTTAAAAGTGTCTGGGCAAGTGGCTTAGCACTGTTGTATAAAAACTACTACTACCACCACCTTCTCTCAAACATTTCCAAATTGATGATTTAATTCAAGCAAACTTTCCCAATTCATCTGTTAGAAAGTGTTTTCTGTGACCTTATCATCCCTTCTTGTGAAAGAAGAACACCAGGGGGGCTTGTGAATAGCTTTTCCCTGAAATCTCTCCTTATGGAGTTACTCTTCCATTACCGCACTGCACATGGCAGGGTGGGGAGAGGAATGGAAGCCCTCTGTCCAGCCCTGAGGAACCACTAACCACTTGGACCATGGCCTGAGTAAAGGACACACAGCCCACAGTTCTCCCCTTCCACAAACAGGCCCCATGAGTGGTCATAGAACAGAGCAATACCTTACTCCACTCGGTACTTCCTGGAAAGGGAGAACATGACAGGCTCTGAAACACCCTTCCAAGAACAGCAGCAAGGAAAAAAACACCCAACCAACTTTAAGACAGCTTGGTCAAGCTGTGAACAGAACTAGGATGACAAGTCACGATGCTGCTGAGTACAACAGCACAAGAAGCCCTTTCTATCGATCGTCACATATTCAAGAAAAATCTAGAATTCAGTTTCCCTCCCATTTAGCAAAAAGCGGATAAAGCAAAAGACTACTGAAATTCATGTGACAGAAGTAACTCAGTCCTTCAGAAATAAACATCCTCTTCCCCTAAAATAGAGTAATTGAGTTTCCTACCTAAACTTGTACAAACAAACCTACAAGATATGTCTAAAACGCAGGAAGGAAAGAAAAATTAATTCCAATGCTTTATGCAACTACAGGAATGTCTTAACCTGGTTTTCTTAGGGCAGAGACTAATGCTAGCATAGTACCTTTACCACTTTTTAAATGATTTTGATCTGACAGACAAAAAAAAAAAAAAGTTTAAATATTCAAATATCCTAGAACTAGGAAGCTACATGGAAGAAAAATCCTCAGCGTGTGCTCAAACCAAGTAAGGTGCAACATGCAGTCACATATTAGTAAATGTCAGAGAAGCCAAGTGCAGGAAAAGCAGTCATGAATGCCAGTAGCAAAGCACAGAAACAGGAAAATGTGGCCAATCATTAAATTCACTTTCTACAAGAACAGGCGTTATTAATTCCCCAGCCAATGGGACTTATTTTGACCACCAATGTCCTAGAGCACAGCTTTAGGCCACCATAATTAATTGTTGTTAAAAGTTCAATGTACTTACAGGTCTTTCATTTGGATCAATGAAAAATATCTTAATGATTATTTCAAATTCACCCCAGCCCGTTTCGGTGATTTCATATGGTGGTTTGGTAACAACTGCAGTAGGAAACACAGAAGAGTTAACCCAATGACAAAAAGCCTCAGTGGAACAAAGAAAGGAATAAAAAACTGCAACAAAAGCCCAATTCTAGGAACAAATGCTCAAATGCAAAACCTACCTCTTAAAGGATTACCGTAGCTTTCATGCAACTTGAACTGAATTTTTTTTACGTAGGCAGACATGTCCTAAAACAGAAATATTGGTATTTCCGATAATTCATACAGCACACCAACCTACTCTTTAGTCATCTATCCTACATGCCTACCGCTCTTCTGACACAAGCACAGTATTTCTTCTGACTTTAAACACAGATGGAAAGCAAAATGGTGAATCCAAAAATTAGTACTGGCACACAGGTCTGTCGGTATTTTGTCCCCATGAACGCTCGCCACTCTTCCCCCTAACCTAGAAAGATTACTCCGGAAACGTAAAAAGAAATATGTTTTCCCCATCGTTTTCCCTTTCCAGACCCCGGCCCGTTCCAGCGCTGCTCGCCTGGCGTTCCCCACAGCGGAGGGCATGGTTTGGGCTGGGAAACACCTCCACCACCACGGGAGTCCAACCCTTAACCCAGCGCTGCCAGGGCCACCGCTACACCACGTCCCTGGGTGCCACATCCACACGCGTTTTGAAGAGTGGCGGGGATGGCGATTCCCCCCCTTCCGCGGGCAGCTGTTCCAGCGCCCGGCCCCCCTCCCCGAGCAGCGCGGCCGTACCTCGTTCCGGTACGGCTTCACGTACACCGTCCACTGGTGAGTGTGGCCATCCTCCTCCCTCTTCTTCCCAAAATACCGCGCGACGTTCCCGTACACGATCGGCTTCACAATGGTAACGCCCTGAAGCGCCAGGGAGACAACCAGACAGGCACGGTCAGAAAGGCGCTGCCCCTCGCGGCCCGACCCCCGCCGAGGCCCCGCCGGCCGCACCTTCACCCTGCCGCCGGAGTCAGGCCCGAACTCTGCCATTCTCTTGAACATATTGCCGGGGGGCGCCGCCCGCCGCCGCCCGCCCGCGCCGCGCCCGCCCCGCCCGGCCCCGGCCCCGGCCCCGCCGCCGCGACCGCCGCCGCCCCGCGACCGCCATGCCCCGCGGCTTCCGGGGCGGGGCTGCGGGCCTGCGCCCACGGGCCCGGCCGAGCGGGGCGGGACGGGCAGGGCTGGAGCGCGGCGGCCGCGGCCCGGCTGGCACAGCGGGGACGTCACGGAAGGGACCGCAAAGCCCATCCACCTCCAACCCCCCACCCGCCGTGGGCACGGACACCCACCAGGCCAGGAGGCTCAAAGCCCCAGCCAACCTGGCCCTGAACACTTCCAGTGATGGAGCATCCGGAGCTCCTCTGGGCAACCTGTTCCAGTGCCTCACTGGCCCTATAGAGAAGAATTTCCTTCTTGTATCTAATTTAAATATACTCTCAGTTTAAAGCCATTACCCCTTGTCCTGTCACTACGTGCCCTTGCAAAAATGTCCCTCTCCAGCTCTCTTAGAGGCCCCTTTAGGTACTGGACAGCTGCTCTAAGGGATACCTGGAGCCTTCTCTAGGCTGAACAACCCCAACCCTCAGCCTGTCTTTCTAGGAGAGGTGCTCCATCCCTCTGACCTTCATGGCCTTCCTTGCTCCAACAGGTCCACGTCCTCCTTACACTGGGAACCCCAGAGATGGATGCAGCACTCCTCAGGGAATCTCATGGGAGGGGAGTAGAGGGGCAGAATCACCTCCCTGGACCTGCTGGCCACCCTGCTTTTGATGCAGCCCAGGACACGGCTTTCTGGGCTGCCAAGTGCACACTGTTGTGCCATGCCAAAATTCTCATCCACCAACAACCCCAAGTGTTCCATCTCTTGGCTGCCCATGTCCTGCAAATGCAGGAGATAGCACACACTCGTGCCACTTCCATCACTCACAGTCCTCTGTGCGGAGGTCACATGCTGTTCTGTCTGAGCTCAGTAGTACTTAAAGAATGAAGAAGGTAATTAGACAAACTTTTTTCCTTCTTTTCACATTTTTACTTTAACTATACTCAAACACACCCTTTGCTGCTATGTCTTGGTGCTCACTATTTTATTGCACGTCATTTCCAGGGACCTACACACTGCCTGGTTAAATGAGACATCCAGAAAAAAAAGCAGTCCCGGTGAAGGTATAGTATGTGCTGGCAAGACAGGTACAGTGGGAGGGAAATGCCTATGGAAGCCGCAGCTGCACCCTCCAGTCAGCCCAGCTCTGTCTATCCCTATGGTGGACCAGAGAACTCAGGGGACTCCTCTGGGAAGCTGCAGCCAGACTGTGCCTGCAAAACAGCCTCCAGAGCATTCCCCCTCCTGTGGCCGTCCAGAGCCTGTGCTGGGGCTCCTGGCAGACAAGAAGACAAGAACGCACTCCCAGTAATAAAAAATTCCCTACCCTGTTCCTTGCATGAACTAGATCTCATGTGGTCAGCGCTGATCAGCCCTGAAGTGTTACAGCTCTTCTTGTTAAAACGAAGCAATTTGGCAAGACTGGCAGCTTCTGCAAGTGGTTGAGCTCTCACTGTTTTAAAAGAAAAATTTTCTGAGGTTAATCTAACTTCTAATAAATGGCTTCTATGGAAAACTCTTTATTCATCAGTAACAAGATGAACAAGAAGGGGAAAATGATGCAGTTCTGGCTCTAAAGAAACCTTTTCCTCCCATGTGAGCATGACTGCCCTACAGATTTTCCTTTGGAAAGGGTGGGCTTAAATATTGTTCTGCTTTGATTTTTAAAGACAGAGATGTAACCAACCTTTGCTAATCTACTCTCAACTGGAATATGAGAGGGCAGCCCATCACAGCACCACCAGTAGAAACTGAGCTCACCTGAGCAGGGGGAACTGCACGTGCTTGGCCCTCAGGGTCCTGCCACCACTGTGCCACCAGCGGCTATTGGTCTGTAAGAGCCACGACTGATTCAGAAAATGAGACGATTGTATAGAGAATGCACGTGATAGGGAATGGTCCCTTTATTCTTTAATTGAACCAAATATAAAAAACACACAGAGTATGTCTTATTTAAAAAGTCCAACCCAGTATTTCTATTCAGAAATAAATTCCAATGTGCTTCTGTGTATTGTTCTCTATATATAGAAGCACAAATCAAGCCCAATGTATATTTCCACAAAAATGACAGAGGAAAATACTACACGGCCCAATTTGTGCCACAGTTCTGACCATATTTAATCAATGGTGACCTTCTCCTAAACAGAAATGAAGTGCAAGTGAGCTTTCATAGAGAAAACTAGGGAAATGAGCACAGTGTTAGGGCCCTCTCACCACTGTTACTGCAATAAGGGTGAAAATGCAGACACTGGGAATGGCCAAAAAAAAAAATTCTGCTAAAGATGACCTTGTCTCTTTTCTGGCTCATATCCATATGAATGCAGGTGGCCCAGCTGCCCACACATCTCTTGGGATAGGGACCAGCAGGTGGGCAGGGGCAGGCAGGGTGTGCTCTGCAGCAGCAGCTCCTCTCCTGTTCTGACACTCTCACAGGTGGCATAAGGGTCCTTCTGGACACTGTAGATGTCTCCAAACAGTCCAGCTCACTTTACCTCTGCTGCCAGGCATGCTCACATGGAGCTTTTCGCTGCTCACCAAGGCAGGAGCAGAGGTTCTGGCATGTGGCCATGCTCATCCTAACTGCTAAACTCTGGCATCCACAGGGACCTGCTCACTTCAACAAAGCTTGTTAAATGGAAATGCCCACCCCATGTCCCCTCTGGATTTACAGAGCCCCAGGCTGTGTCCCCAAAAGTCCAGCATGCTTCTTTCTGTTAAAAGAATATATAATAAAATGGTTTGGGTTGAGAGGAACCTTACAGACCATCTAGTTCCATCCCCCCGGCCAGGGACAGGGACACCTTCCACTAGACCAGATTGCTTGGAGCTCCATCCAACCTGACCCCAAACATTTCCAGGGATGAAACATCCAGAACTTCTCTAGGCAACCTGTTCCAGTGTCTCACCACCCTCACAGTGTAAAATTTCTTAATATTTAGTGTATTATCTTCCTTTATAGGAAAAATTAACAGAAAAGCAAATATGCAAGAAACAGGGCAACTGGGTGAAAACACCGTGTGTCCTAAAGAAGGCCAGAGACTCCTTAAACAAATTTGCTTAAATAAAGGGAGAATAATTATTAACTTGCTGTTGTGAATGCCTTAAGGGGTTAAGTACAATGGGAAGGGAAATAACTAGATAGAGAGCAGTATCAGCACAAAAAAATCAAATTAATATAATCTAGACAATAAGAAATTCAGGCAGTGACTTTGATTTGTAACCCCACAATCCCTGGAGCATGGGAGGAGTGGGATAGACTTCCTGTAGGAAGTGTAGGAGCAAACAGTCCAGACAGACCTTATGAGGTTGTAAGATAATCATGAAAGAGGTTAAAAGATGCAGTTGGCTGCCCCAGGACAGGACAGAGTTTCATATCCCAGGCAGCATTTTCCAATCTTTCTTGCTGCTTTGCTTTCTTGTGGAGCCTTGCAATGAAGTATGGAAGGCTAAAAGACACCCACACCATTCCCAACCTGTTTTACCTACAAGCATGGCTAATCACAGAGATGACAGATATAGGTGAATGAAAAAGAAATAAATTCCATTTTTTTAAACCTCATACAAAGATTTGTTCACCAAAAGAATACTTAATGGATTCATTATCCAAATGTTCACATTGGATATGCTGAATATTGTTAACAGAATGGAAGCACATTTAAGAAAAGAAGTGGAGGAAGTGGCACTGGACACATGCTCTGCGCCTACTGAAATAAAACAGTCTCAAATGGAACAATCTGCAAAGCAGCCACTGAATTTCAGACTCACAAGCAGGTCGCAGCTATGGCAGGAAAACCCTTGTAGGAATATGTTCAATGAAAACAATTTGCCATGGGAGAGACTGGAAACTGATGGGATTTTTTTGGACTGGACCTTGCAGAAATGTCATGTAAGACTTTTCTCAAATTTCTTCCAGTCCTGGAAAGGACAAACTGAGTGAAGGGAAGCGGCCACCTGCTCCAAGGATCAGGTGCAGCTGGAGGTGGCACAAACCTGGCTCCAGCAATAAATGGTATAACACCAGCTCTCTCACTAGCCCTGACTGTTTTAACTGACTACCAATTTAATTTAGTGATAACATGGTTTTGGCATACTTTTTCCCTAAATAAAGACTTGAATTTTTAGAATCCTTCCCTACTTCAGTAATGCACTCAAGCCCCTCACAATTAAAAATCTGAGCAGTTATATTTCTAAATTAATTTTGAGTAAAAGGCATAAAATTAATTTTAAAATGATAAATTACTTAACTAAATGGAACAGGCAGGGGATAACTTGAAATTAGGAGGGCGCAGTAGGGATTCCACTTAAAAAACCCAAAAGTTCTTTTTCTGAAGTATCATACTGTTACCACTGCGAAAGAAACAGCAAGAAAATTTTCTCCTGCTGAGATGGAAGCCAGCCAGTAGATAGCTTTAATCATTATGGAGAACTTATACTTACACAGAGAAGCTCAAAATACAGCCTTTTATAGTTGCTAATAAAACATTGGCCTTCTCTGACTCTTTTGATTCAAGGACTTCACGTATTTAAAAAAGAACCCACCACACAATTTAGACATTATTTTCAACAGTTTCTTTTGCAGGGTTCTGTTGGCCATTCTACACCATTCACCATTTTCATTCCCCTTACACTGCAGGTCTTTGAGGAAAGGGGAGGCTGTGAACCTACATCTTGCAAAGATTCCGGGCTACATGACTTTCAGAAAAGTGAGAACTGCAGTTTTAATTATGTATAGGCTCCAATTAACATTTTGAGGTGGGAGCCCAAGTCCCTTACAACTTGACCCATGAATAAGGATCCTGTTTGGCATGAATGATCTGTTTTCATCCCCTCCCACCAGTGTGGAGCTGCAACACATCCATGCAGAGCTGTTTCTTTTCTAAGTGAAGCACAGTCTCATACTGTAAAAGGTGGTATGGGTAGCTGCCTGTCAAAAAGAATTAGAGAGTTTAACAGGGAAAGTGGA